CAATTCGCTATACACTCAAAAAAAGCATGACTGTGCCAAGACTGTTTCATCGGACTTTCACCGACTCGTCAGGAGGTTGAACCCCGACAGTCTGCCCAGGATGCATTTGACTGATGGATAGGACTCACCACATCGCCCAGAGTTAGTGATACCCCTGTCTGTGTGTGTGTGTGTGTGTGTGTGTGTGTGTGTGTGTGTGTGGAGTGCGCGCAGGATTGGGGGGGATATCACAACAGTATGGTTCCGCTTTTGTACACCATGCCATAGCTGTAGCGGTTAAGAAACTCGGCTCTTAAGGCTGAGGACACCGGTTCGAATCCGTGCGTGTACAGAGGAGGTCTGACGCTGGTAAATGTGCTGACTGACACAAACTGAGAACCAAATCCGGGACGTATATTGAGTGCTGATCTGGTCAGAAACAAGCATTAGAATTATCAACAAAAAAAAAGAAAAAAAAAGGGAATTTTTCCGAAATGCCCCTGAAGTTTGCATTTATTTGCAGCGTGCCCCTCTGACGGCCGACTTACCTTGTCGCGCCCCTCTGACGACGAATGATGTTTCCAGAAAACCCCTGGTGTCGTTTGGGCCTGAAAAATGTTTCATATGCCCCTACCGGTACCAGTACCAAATTTTCAGTATGCCCCTACCGGATGGCCGTTGAGAACCAGCACAAAAGTTTCCCATACGCCCTTATTGCTGCCGTCCATCTTTCCAGCGAGCCCCTGTGGCCGTTGTTGACACTCGCAGTCTTTCCCCTGGCCCAGGGAGAGATACTACCGGGGCATATCAGAAATTTGGCAATGAGCATGGACACACACACACACACACACACACACACACACACACACACACGCACAACACACATATACACACACACACACACACACACACACACACACACACACACACACACACATATACAGAGTTTTTCCGTGGCGGCGCATGGAATGCCTAGTAGCCTACCACATTGAATTCAAATTCCTCCCACCACTGCTGCAAGGGCATCACAGAAAGATGTGTGGCCCTCATGAGGGCATTTCAAGGACCGACCGACGAAACGCCACCAGCGGTCCAGTAAGGGCATATCGGAAAGTTACGCCCCATGCTGACAGGGGCCTGCAGAAAATTTCAGAGGCCCGAGGGGCACCACAGGGTAAGTCGGCCTTTACAGGGGCACGCCACAAATACACGCAAACTTTGGGGGCATTTCGAAAATTTTCCCAAAAAAAAAACATTCGGGGTGGAGAGACCAAGAAAAACAGATCTGATGACATCCGACTTTCTTACTGCGAAATATTACTCCGGAATACCCTTGCAAGGAAAAAGAAAGAAGTGTAAAAAGAAATCTTGCCTGTCCAGACTCCAGAGTAAATTCACAGGATCACAATGTATATCACCGACTTCAGCTCCCCTCGATTCATAGTCTTGAAAAAGCAGCTTTTAAGGCATCTTCATTCAAATAGAACGCCTGGTGCATAGCTATGTATCTAGACTGAAAGTTGCCCAGCTCCGCTCAATTCATCATCTCGAAAGAGCGGTTGTTAGGGCACATTAAGACTACCATCTTCATTCAAATAGAATGCCTGGTCCATAGCGCTGTATCTAGACTGAAAGTTGCCCCGAATACAACCTTATTGACTCGGCACTGGGCAGTTGCGATCTCGGATTTGCATCTGAAGTCGATAGAACCTCAACTTCACAAGAATCTGCAGCCCTTGCGATCTCGAATTTGCAGATTTTCACCTCAGCCAAGTTACCCCTGGTCATTATTGCTGTACCTACGGTGAAAGTTGCCTCAAATACTTAGGTGAGGACGGTAGGACCTCAAATTCACAAAATCTGTGGCCTTTGCGATCTCGGACTGGCAAATTTTCACCTCCGCACGTCTCGTCAGGGGACTCTATCTCATGATCTGTTCATTTTTTTTTTTTTTACACCAAAACACTTCAGTGTACCATTCGGCCACATGTGTGTGTGTGTGTTTGTGTAGGGTGTGGGATCTCAAGGACATCCTCTCTCTCTCTCTCTCTCTCTCTACTGAGACCTCGGATTGGCGGATTTTCACCTCCGCAACATCTCGTCTCTCTCTCTCTCTCTCTCTCTCTCTCTCTCTCTCTCTCTCTCTCTCTCTCTCTCTCTCTCTCTACCGAGACCTCGGATTGGCGGATTTTCACCTCCGCAACATCTCGTCAGGGGTTTCAATCTCATGATCTGTTCATCAACAGCTACAGTAACTTTTTCTCTTTTTTTTTTTTCACACCAAAATACTTCAGTGTACCATTTGGCCACATGGGCTGAATGGTATTTCAAAAACATTTTCCGAGTGAGGCAGGCAAAGGGATGGCGAAAGGAAGAGGAGAAAACAGCGACGAGGCGGGAATGAGAGAGGGCATACAAACTCACCTCCAAAAGGGTTGACGTCATCAGGAATCAAGCAATGCACAACTCCATCTTGTGCATCTCCAGCCATCCTCTTCTCGACCGTTGCCTCCTTCGCCGGGATCAACGTCTCCGTGTGCAGCTTCACATTGCCGTGAACAAGCGAAGGCATCCACTCCTTTCTCATAACGACACCCCGTTCCATTTCTTCATCCAGAATACTCCCCGCGTCTTCTTCCATCGTTGAACTATCAGAGTGGAGGGAAGCCTGCTCAATCGCTTCTCTCCCTCCACCAGGCAAAGCGCCTACCACCCCTATTCCATCGCGATTCCCATCTTCAAAACCGCTCTCACCCTCGATAGACACCTTGCTGCCATTCGTGTCAGATATGTCAGTTGACATTTCGCGATAATTGTAACCGAGCAGATCTTCACGGGCCATCGCCTTCCAGTCAACGACCCCTAAGCTCTGCGCCTGCCTGGGGTCAGCAGCGTCTTCGTCGGACAGCTTCTGGCCAATCGATCGCTGTCGTCTTCGGAACCGACAGAATGCTGGTCGTTGATCTGTAGATCCAGCAGGACATGCGTCGATAAGGTCGGAGAGAGCGGATGTGCAACTCGCAGATGCGGCGTTCCATCCCTGTGACCACCCTCCTAAGGACGACGAGAACCTTCTCTCTTCTCCCGCCGGGACAGCTCCGCCCCTCCTCGGCCCTTGTACCGATGCCCCACCACCCATGGTTGCAGAGAATGCCCCCTCCGAGACTAAAGATCCTGAGGCTGACAAACCGCATCTACGAGCCCGGTGCGATGATGCTGCGAACGGCCGCAGCGCAGCGAATGAAGCAGAGAGCCGCTCCAGATCGCGGCGCAAAGCATGACTAGCACTGAAATCGCCTCTTGAAACTAGCTCACCGATCCTCGATGAGCTTGCACTTGATTTGCCGCCATCCGCTGCTGCCGAACTATCTCTCACAACCACCTTCTCCTGCTCCCTCTCCTCCTGCGCCCCTTCCTCGTCATCAGAAAACGCACGCTTCATGCTGCGCCGCAGGCATCCATTCCCACTTACACTCCTCCACCGTCTTTGCCGGCCACCTTCCCATGGCATCGGGCTGCACTCGCCAGCATCACATCCTCCTTCTCTTCCTCCCCCTCTTCCACCTTCTCTACGGCTACCTACTACCGCAAGAAGATCACTCTCATGCTCCACAGTGCCAGAACCACCTCCCTCATCATCCTCCCCGCCATGCGCATCATCGACCAGAAGTTTGCCCCCACAATCCCGTGCATTGTCCTCCTCGTGCTCCTCCCACTCATCCGATCTGGCATCGTACCTCATCGACGGCGTGGAGGTCGTCTTCGTAGTTACGGAAGGCGCCGCTACTTGGGCACTCTGACTCACAACGTCAGAGGAGACGGCAGCTGGTTGCAGTGCCCTTTGCCGGACGCTCGTCCGAGAAGACGATGATGGTGGTGGTGGAGAATGTGGTGGGCAATCACCTCCTGTGAGACCTCTCGGAGGCGACAACATAGCCGCAGCAGCCATGCGCTCATCGGCATTCGTGCGGCTCTTTCTGCCACTACCACCACATGCGGCATCATGCACCGGCACAATTGCTCCATTTGCATTTGGGCAGGTGGCCAATGCTTTCGAGGGGGCAGATTGATTGCTCCCTGCAGTCAACACGGGAACAAAGGTTGTACTTACGGTAAATTTCTCACTGGAGGCTCCGCCGGCGCTGATGCGGGTCGTCACTGACACACCACCATCCGGCTGGTACGTTGTCTGCACTGTAACTTCTCCTGAGGTAGGAGACACCGACGTAGAGGCTGTGATTCCCACTGTACAATACATCCGTTCATGCATCCAGAGGGAAAAGCAAATCATTATTCAGGAGGCAAAAGAGCCATCCATCAACGTCAAACATTGTGCACCGCATGTCCACAACACATGCACAAAATGAGCCTTCACTGAAAGGATGTCTCAGATCTGACAGGAGGAGAGGGAGAAAGGAAGCGCAGGAGAGAGGGACAGAGGGACAGAGGAACAGATGGAGACGGGGAGACAGACAGCGGGAGAGGGGAGGGCGAGGGAGGAATGGAGGGACGGGAGAGGTGGAGGGAGACGAAGAGAGGGAGGGAGGGAAAGACGGAGAGGGAGAGAGGAAGAGACGCAGGGAGGAGAGGGAGAGAGGGAGAGGGAGAAACGGGGTGAGGAGGGAGAGCATAAACAGGTGAGTGCGAACAAATGGCCCACAGATAAGAGTGAGACAGAAGCGGAATGAAGTACGAAGGTGCAAGGCCTCACCTCTCCAGGGAATGTTGGGAGTTGGCTGCCAATTCGCGATCTGAGGAACGGCTAAAGGTGTCTGACCAAGTGGCCGCCGTTTCCTACTCCTGCGTTTCCACGCAAGTCCCGGCATCTTTAAACTTGCTCTCCCAACTCTCTCTCTCTCTCTCTCTCTCTCTCTCTCTCTCTCTCACACACACACACACACACACACACACACACAGCCCCCACTTCCACCGAACCTCCCTTCCTGCCCTCCGATGCCCCTATCCAACCTCCCACGTCCCTCTACTCCTCCCCCCGCACCCCCACCCCCTCCTTCTTCTAGTCCACACTTGTCCCTATCTTGAAGGGTCTCTCCATGTTGACAGCATGACTTCGTTGTTCTTTCTGCTCAGTATACCTGCACCACAGAGAACAGACATTCAAAGATTATTTTTAGCAATGGGACCGCAGACACCACACCTTTGTTTCCCATCATTCCATTCGGTTCTCAGCATTAACTATTTCCGTGCCTCTTTAAAATGTCCCACCCTTTTTGACCGACAAAAATAAAATCATTTGTGCCTCTTTCAGATGTCCCACCCTTTTCGATCAACAAAAATAAAATCATTTGTGCCTCTTTCAAATGTCCCGCCCTTTTCGATCGATAAAAAATAAAATCATACAAGGCCGATTTTTTTTCTCCTGCTTATCCGCTTTCCCCAACCGTGCTTCCAGAAACCCAATGCAATATCAACCAAGGGTCTAGTCCCAAGATGCAGTTAACAGACCCCTAAATTTTCAGGGTTTTCTCATGATGCTATTTGTAATGAAACTCCCACACCCTTCACACCAAACTCGTCTCTGTCTCCAATCGTCCTTTTCGACCAGTTGAAGCCTAAAATTAGAGCAATACAGAGAATATTAGCATGGTACATAAGATCATGTAATCGCACGCATGCAACACAGACATGTGAGAAGACATTCCATTCCATAAAAACACAAGACGCAAGAACAACCAGACGAAGAAGAACAACAAGAAGACGAAGAAGAAGAAGAACAAGAAGATGAGGACGAAGACGAAGACGAAGACGAAGACGAAGACGAAACCGAAGACAAAGACGGAGACAATGAAAGAAGAAGACGAAGAAGACGAAGACGAAGACGAAGACGAAGAAGAAGAAGAAGAAGAAGAAGAGGACAACGAGAGGCAGGGAGGAGAAAGCAATGGACTCAATAGCAGCCTATATCAACGACCTGTAGAAAGTAGACAGGAGAAGAAAAGAGTAGAGAAAGAGAAGTGAAAGTGAAAGTTCAAGGGATTGACGACGAATTTGACGTCCATGGCCCCTGCAGAAGGAAGACATGAATAAATTGAGGATCTGGTTCCCGGCACATGTAAACAAACATTAGTTAGAAGGGGAAAAAAAAAAAAAAAAAAGAGGATCGGAGGATGTGGTGCAGAAATCGAAGATCAATTTGCTTTCCTGCATCTACCCATGCAATTCGTCCAAATTCAGGCGCTTAATCTAATCCTCTTCACTAGTGGGACCTCAACCCCGCACTATCTGCAACGCATCCGATCCCATACATACAGATCCTTTTTTTTTTCCCCATCAAGGACAACGTCCTTGAGATCTCATCATTGAACTGACCAGCCCTAGGCAATTCATAAATATCGTTTAAACTTAAAATATGTTATTTCGTTAATTTGACTGCATCTGGATTCGAACTGGGGTCTGTACTTCAACAGTTCATGGATGTACCAACTGTTCGAACAGAATTCCAGCGGAATTAGGGCAATTCATAAATATCGTTAAAACTTAAAATATGTTATTTTGTTAATTTGACTGCATCTGGATTCGAACTTGGGTCTGTACTTCAACAGTTCATGGGTGTACCGACTGTTCGAAAAGAATTCCAGTGGAATAAGACGAGTGAAAAATAACTCCGATTCTACCTGGGGCCAGTCAGTTCAACGATGATATCTCAAGGCGCTTGTCATTTCAACGAATCTACCTGGGTTGGGAGTTCTTGGGATGTGTGTCGGCGGAGATTCGAGAAGGACAGCCTTTCGTGCGTTCCCTCCAGAGGATTCGAAACGAGGAGGACGGTCACCTCAGACTAGGTAGGCCGGGAAGGAATTGCGTATCCGGGCTGGACAGGATTGGATTTTGCGTATCCGGGCTGGACAGGATTGGATTTTGCATCCTGGTCTAAAATCGCAGAGCCAGAAAGCCGCAGCGATCGCAGTCTGCCTTGAAGTTCACAGGATCGACAGAGGATCGACAGGAATTCGCCACGACGCGACAACATACATGGGGCAAGTGATATTTGAATTATATTCTAAAAATGTCTTACCCGACAGAAGAAAGGCTATCCGTCCGGTGGACCTTTTCGTGAAGGTTCTCGAGAATTTCGCGGCCACGAAGGACCCGGTCTGGAACTTGACCGCTAGCCTCGTACGGCAATTCCCCGCATGAAAGTCTAGTCCTGTTTTACAGTAAGAGGTGTAGTGATTTTCCGCCTGTCATAGTCAATAGTATACACTGTTTCAGTTTTTACTTCTTTCATCCTCTCTTACAGCAGACCTGCCTCAGGTATTTGTCCGCAGCCGGCATCCGTCCGCCGTTGACAAGGACCACCTTTAGTTTGTCGGAAACTTCGGTGGAAACTATGGTGAAAACTTCGGTGGAAACTTCAGTGGATGGCGCTAAGGAGGGGGGCGGTGGGATGCGACGTCCATAATGATACTATTTTCTACTTGACATCGCACATTGCGGTCTTCTGTAACTTTTCACTGTATTTGAGAGTTTGTGTACATTCGCATCGCGTGGTGTGCACCGTGTTTGCCCCTTGCCCTTGTTGTCATTTCAACAAAAAAAAAAAAAAAAAAAAAAAAAACTCAATATTTGTCAAACCCCCAACTCTGTATTTCAGCAGCATGTTTGCTTGAAGGAACGGAGTTTTTGTTACACCACCAGTACCTGGCCCAGCCATCGGCCGTAGGAAAAAAAATAGAGTGGAAACGTTTCTTGTCGGATGAATTCGGGCGCTCCTGTAGTAGCCCGTACGTTTCCTAAAATTGTGGGCGCGTTAACGGGCACGACTCTCGGAAGTACTGCAGTGGTTTACATCCCCAGTTTCATAAAACAGAGCTCGTACGACCCCCCCCCCCCCCGAAAAAAAAAAAGAGTACTAAGCCCTCAAACATGAACAGAGCAACTCCTTTGGGCATAATGATTTAACTTTGACATTCCTGGCCTCAATTTCAGTGCCTTTGGGAAATTGGGACCCAAATCAACAGGGCTTATGGCACTTTTGGGACACGACTCTTTCGGTCCAGACTCCAAAGTTACAATACGCAATGGAGAGCAAGCGGCCTAGCTCAGTTGTTTACGCAGGCAAGCAAGTCGCGTTCCGGAAGGCATGGGTTCCATCCCCACTGACCGCCCAGGCACACTTAGTGCCACCCAACTGAGATAGTTGGCTTGCTTCCCCCCGTCACGGGTGTGTGCGCATGTGCTGTCATATTCGCTACACATTCAAGAAAAGCATGACTGTGCCAGACTCTTTCGTCGAACTTTCACTGACTCAGGAGGTTGAACGCCGGGCGCGCGGGCGTGTGTGTGTGTGTGTGTGTGTGTGTGTGTGTGTGTGTGTGTGTGTGTTGTTGTGGGGGGGGGGGGGGGGGCAGGGGAAAGGAGGGTTGTGTGTGGTGTTCAAGTGCTGGCCATCGACAATGCTGATATTTGACGGGCCAGGGGAAGTAAATGGGAGATGCAGCTACTGACAACATGCTCGGTCTTTGCATTAGCACCCCCCGCCCCCCCTTTTTCTAACACAAAATAAATTAAATTTAAAAGATCCCCAAAGGGGTAAATTCCTAAACTGTCAAACCCAGACCCACTGGACAAAGTTGGTGCAAGCCCACCCAACAAAGCTATAATTCTGCAAAACCCACCACATTAATTTTTTTGTCCTTGTTGTTCTTGACCATTTCTCAATTCACATGTGTCATACTTATTTTTGACCATTTCTTTTTTTTTCCTTCTTTTTTTTTTTTCCCTTTTTTTAAAGCCTGAGGCCCTGAAGTCGTATATTAACAGTTATGTTGACCATTTCTCAATTTCCGTTTCCCATGCTTGTTGTTGACCACTTCGTTTTTTTTTTCTTTTCTTTTCTTTTCTTTTCTTTGTTTTTTTTTTTCCTTTTTTTTCTTTTTTTTTCTTTTTTTCTCTTTTTCTTTTTTTTCGTATTTTTTCGTTTTTTTTCGCTTTTTTCGTTTTTTTCATCTTTTTTTTTTCTTCTTTTTTTTCTTTTTTTTCCTTTTCTTTTTTTTAAGGCTGAAGTCGTATAACAGTTATGTTGACCATTTCTCAATTCACGTGTTCCATGCTTGCAAAGGGGCCATAGTAGCCGCCATACTTCTCTTCTCTCTGTGTATTATTCCACTTTCAATTTTGAACGGATGCCCCGAAAGACACCCACCGCATTAAGTTGGTGCAAACCCACCACACAAAAAATTCGTCCAAATCCACTGCACTAAGAGGGACTGGTTCAAAACCCGCACCACGAAGTTGGTCCAAATCCACTGCACCACGAAGACGGCATTTGCCCTTAATATATGAACAACAGGCTGTTTGAGATGTCCCGGCGAGGAGACTCTGGCCGGAGGAGAACTCCCGTGGCGGTCGTCATAACTGTATCCAGACTGAAAGTTGCCCAAAAGTCTATATCAAGACTGAAAGTTGTTCAATACACAGATATAACGAGCTGTGTCTAGACGGAAAGTTAACCAAAATACAGGTATAATGACCGGCCGTGCTATTCGGGTGAAGACAGTAGCACTGAGATGAGTCTGCTAACGCCAATGACTTGAACCGCGTCCCCCCAAACAAGAGCAGGAGCCTTCTTCACCACAATAGAACGCCCCACCATCATAGCTTAAATGTATTTAGAGCAACTTTCAGTCTAAATACAGGGAGATAGGCATTCTATCAGGAACCAGATCGCAGATGCCATGCTAAGGTCATTAGCGCTTCAAAGGGAACCACACTGCTGCTACTGTCCTTGGCATCTCAAAGGGATATTACCTTCCTCAGGCAATATAGAATGCTGGGTCGTTATCACTGTATCTAGACTGACAGTTGCCCCAAATACAGCGATAATAACCAGGTGGTCTAATAGTATTCGGATGAATGAAGACAGTTATCTCCTTCCAAAGCATAAAGATCTCCTC